TAGTAGTCTAATAATGGTCTGGAACTACTGTGTATATTACCTATTTTGGGCCTGGAATGCTATGTTATACAACTAATAGAATGGATAGAGTTATTTACACTGAAATACTTGACAATTATTTGTTACAATCTGCTGATTGTTACCACATTGACAGGAGATCTTCCATTTACCAGCAAGATAATGATCCAAAACATACATCCAGAAGAGCAATGTCATGGCTTCCGGATCAAAATATTCCTGCCTGAATGGTCCCTTCTTAAATGTCGCTGACTATGCATCTCCTCCTAAAAGCATGCACCAATTATAGGAACGTGTACAGGATGAGTGGAACAAATAACATTGCACAATTGCAGGGATATTACTAATTCTATGCACGATCTCATTGGGTATTTATTCGATTTGATTGAAGAAGAAGGGGGGAAAATCCATAATGAAATACACGAGAACCGGAAAATAATCATGCATAGATATCTATTAACAGCTGACAACACTAATGCATCGAGCCGGTAGCCATTTTGACATCGTTTACGTAGTTATCTATAGAATTAAATGTCCTTTTAACTTAGAGAAAATACGTAATTATAAAATTGATTTGAACTGTTCTATAAAATAATTTTTAACGTGTAATTCAACAAAATAAATAAAATTTGTACATAGAAAGTACAAAAATTTAATTGAATTTTAAACAAATTAAATGTTTAGTTGTTAAAAAAAATTCGAAATATTTTACCGGCCAAATAAGGCTATACTGATTATTGAACTGTACTTTTTCCCACAAATATGATATAAATTTTTGCATCAAAATCCTGCCAATACATATGTTCTTCGTATGTAACTATTATTAATTAATAAAATAATTACGTTGTTCGGATAATTATAATTATATACGTAAATATATAAAGTATGCAAATAAAAATAAAGTTTTTCGTACTAAATGTGCTTTGCAACATTTTTCAGTTCTTTAAAATAGTCTTATGTGTTCTTTGGGAGGATTTTGACGCTTACTGATATTTATTTTCTCTAAAATATGAGAATTATAAGGTTTTCGATGTTCATATCTTTTATAACATGAAAATAAGTCAAAATATATTCAAAATTTTACATTTTTAATATATAAATTTAGTATTTACATATTTTAATTTGTAAACAATTCAGATGCATAGAAGACAAAATTTTGATTTAAGTTCTCTTAATTTTATTACGATTTTTCAATTTTTTTTAAATATGCGATTTATAAAATAATTAAAATATTATTAAATTTATTAATTTATCTACAGAATTTTATGTTATTTTAAATACGTTTAAATATCTCGTAAAATAAGCGATATAACTTCTCTCTTATAATTTTATTGTTCATCATTTATTTGTATTTTTTTCTATAAATAAATACCTATTTATATACATAAAAATCTAACTTGAAATGCAATTAATAAAATTCATAAGAAGTAATCTTAAAAAATTTTTCGATATTCGTAAGACAACATGGTGATGCTATTATCATCAGCATCATGGTCTTCTAGTCATCTAGATACCTTGTCGCCGTCACTATTGTTTTCCATTCTTTCTTGTTTTGCAGCTTTATCTTTCCATTGTCCTTCACTCCCAATGACTCTACTTATAAAAAGTCATATTTTATTTATTCGTATATCCTATATTCATAATAATTATTGGTGTTAAATATTAATAAATATTTTTCTAATTAATAAATTCAAAATTTGATTAATATAAAATAATTGTTAACATGTAATTCAACAAAATAAATAAAATTTGTACATAGAAAGTACAGTAATTTAATTGAATTTTAAACAAATTAAATGCTTAGTTGTTAAAAAAAAATTCGAAATATTCATAAAAATATTATTATGAAAAGTAATAACATTGTCTTGTAAAACAAGAAAAATTATTTATGTAATTAACAACTTTTATATAGTCTAATATTTAATTATGAAGATTGTGTATCAAATATAAATTATGAATAATAAAAGTATTATTATTTTAAAATATTGTTAATCTTCAGAGAAATTTTCATTTGAATACATTTATTATATTTTTAAACAAATATTTTTACTTTATTAACAAACAAAAGCAGTATTAGATAAAATTTTCTTATTTTATTTAAAAAATTTATTGATATTTATATACAAAGATAAAAAAAAATTAACTAAACATTGGTCGGATATTCTTAAATTAATACATACAGTAAATTTTATAAAATATTGTTATTTATTTTTACATTATTCATAATAAAATTTATTTGAAGAATAATCATAAAATATAGGCTACTCTACTTCAATCAGAATTATTACAATTAAAAATCGATTATATTATGACAAAACAGCGGGTTTTTAAAGTACAATAATAATAATAATAATAGTAATTAGTAATGCAAACTTTGAAAATATATCAATCAATATCATTTGCAATATCAAATTATTACTTATAAATAATACTAATTAATATAAATTATTAATTAATTATAATTATAGGTAATTACTTTCAATTGTAGGCTATATTATATGTGTTAATTGTGTTCCGCACTATAGTGTACGATTTTAATCTAGAGTACTGTACTTTTAAAGTTTTTTAAGTTAATAAGCTCAATTAACTTTATTAAAGTATACGGAATTAATTATATACATTTTAATCCTAATTTTTTATTATTCAAAAAAAAAATTATTATTATTATTATATTTTAAAAAATTAAAAAGTTACCGATTCTAAAACGTGATCATCGGTTATAAAAATGAAATTTTGTTAAGAAACACACCATAACAAGCAACTGAACAAGCTAAATATTTAATTAAGTTGTCGGGTTGAGAAAAGTCAGTGCATAAAATTATCTCGGGTCAAGTTATTTTTATTTTGTTTGAGTAATGAATTTCGATTTTCCTTAACTATTGTATAATATGTCGAACAGTTTTATTTTTACTACTCGTTAAACAAGGTCGATCTTTATCGAATTGAAACTAAACAATAATCGCGGTTAGAAAGTAAGTTTTATAAATATCTCGAACATCGAGGTCATTCTAGAAGATCGTCCGATTATCGTAATCGAATATCAAACTGTATAAACAAAAATAATATTTAAGTTTTGCATTAAGTAAAATGATTTCTTTAGTTTTTTATGATTTATAAAATTTTGAAAAAAATCTAAAAAATGACATTAAGCGCTTTATATTTGATTTTCGTATTGAGTTTCTTTTAATGAATTTCATAATTACTTTTCAAAGTATCTCCTTTTCAAATGAAAACAAATCTATTGCAAACTTTCCTATATTACAACTGATTAGGAGAATTCATACTAAATGTATGATTTATGAGGAAACGTACTGTACATACGTTTAAAATAATTCGTTACTACAGGACTTTTTTCAATAATGATTCTATGTCTACTTGATACCCCTGAAGACCTGTCGCGTAACCTGGGGTACACATACAACAATTTAGGAAACACTGCTTTAGAGTATAATTAAAATTAAAAAATCAAGGAAGCAAAATGTAAAAGTATACCGGTTTTTTATTTTAAGTTAATACATTGATTTAGAAAATAATTTCAAATTATTCAGATATTAAAAATGAAGCAATAAGTAATGATACAATTACATATAATTAAGGAACCACTTTCTCTAATTATCAATTGCGAAAATAAATAAATAAAAAATTAACGAAATGAATCGAATAAAATGCTATAAAATCGATGAACACTTTAAGAAAATATATTTTTCTAACTAACTAACAGGTAATTGACAGAATTTTTTTTATTATTTAGATAACTTTTATTGTTTATTTTAAAAATTAAATTTAAAATCTTTACTTGTTTTATTTGTAATTACTTATTAAAATATCAAAAAGAACTAATACAGTTCGGTTTGATAGTTTACTTCCTGTTTGATTTTTGACTGACTGACACAGTTTACGTGTCTTACAATTATAATTCCTGGCAGTTATATTTGGAAATTGACGTATGTTTGTTAATAAATATATTTTCAAATATTGTATTTTTAACATATATTGTAGGGATTAAAAGTTTTTTAATTTCGTTTTAGAATTTTTTTATTTTTATATAATACATTTTTTATCTCTTCTAATTTTATGTACTTTCTTATAAGTAAATTAAATATAAAGACTATATTTTGAATATATATATATATATGAATATAAATGCAAAATTAAATAAAGTATTCAGTTTAAAACTATTTAATTTTTCAATTAGAAAATATATATGAAATTTTCATATTTAAAAAGTAAACTAAATTAACATGTAATTTTGTTTATAACTTTTATTTTTCATGTAACCGTCTTTATATGTAAATTTGCTGTTTTTGTGCTTTTCCTTTTTTTAAATAAAGTTTAGGATATGAACATTAAAAAGTGGAGAAAAATATGCGAAAGTTTTACATTAATTATTCTTAATTCATTACCAATTTTATTTACAGACTAAAAGATAATAAAAAGTCACTCGTAACATGTCTAATAGTTATAATAAAGTATTACGTATCGTATAGGTTAATGTCGAAAATTGAATTATGAAAAAAAAGAATAAAGTTGTTTAAAAATAGTGAATTTATTACGAACACTTCCGATACAGACAGGTCACGCAACAGAACGGAAGCTACTATTCAATATATAGGCCAACGTTAAAAACTTTCCAGAGGTTTCTAGTACAAGAGATAAACCAGAAACCATCACTTCCGATTGCTATATCAGAAGGAAACCCCGAGGGTGACCTAAAACTTTAGGGTGTTCCAAAGGAAAATATCAAAAGTTCGAAAAAAAAAGAGTCGTTGGTGAGGACCAAAAAACTCGTCTGTATGAAGTCGAGTGACCGGAACCAAAGAAGAGACTAAAAATAACAACCAGTGAAAAGAGAAATTTCCATTTTGTACTAGATAATGTTTACGGATATATAAAAGGCGTCGAATGGCTGGTTTTCATAACAGCTCCTTCAATTCTCGTAAGATAGACCACTCTCCTAACTACTAATAAACTGAGGATAAAACATGAAGCCGGTAAGATTGGAAAGTAATCTACTCAATTGTAGAATTATATTTCATACCAACCAATTGTTTACATTTTTCTCGACATTTTTTACAGCTGTTCGCTCTCCTGATATCTTGGATTGCATACGCAGCGGCCGTAGGACCCGTAGGTATAGGGGGAATAGGAGGTTTTGGAGGTAAAGGTATTCCGGGATTGGCAGGAATAGGTGGCATAGGTGGTAAAGGTTTGTCAGGTATCCCTTTTATTGGGGGCAAAGGTATAGGTGTTCCTCACATTCCTCATCTAGGTGCCGCAGCTGTTAAACATCATCATCCAATCGGAGGCCTCGGACATCACCTCGGAGGATTGGGTCATATAGGTCATGTGGGTCATTTGGGCCATGGTCTTGGTGGTGTTGGATACGGAAAAGCCTATATGGTTACCTATTTCCGTAGAGCTTTCGACGGTTTGAGAGCAGCTGGTGGTAAAGGTATTTTAACACCCATAGCACATATCACAGGACACGGCATTGGACATGGGTTACACCATGGGTTAGGCCATGGATTACACCATGGGTTAGGCCATGGATTAGGCCATGGTCTTCTGGGTCATGCTGCCACAAGTGCAATACCTGTAGGTGCTGCAGCTCTTAAAGGTGCTGGACATCATCTTGGTCACGTTGGATTACCATTTGCAGGCGCCGCTAAAGGAGGATTAGGTGTAGGTGGACTGCCCTTCGTAGGAAAAGGAGTAGGAGGTATTGGAGGAGGTCTGGGGCAGGTGGTAAAGGATTGGGAGTAGGTGGACTGCCCTTCGTAGGAAAAGGAGTAGGACATATTGGAGGAGGTCTGGGCGGATTAGGAGCAGGTGGTAAAGGATTTGGAGTAGGTGGATTGCCCTTCGTAGGAAAAGGAGTAGGAGGTATTGGAGGAGGTCTGGGCGGATTAGGAGCAGGTGGTAAAGGATTGGGAGTAGGTGGCTTACCGTTTGCAGGTAAAGGAATCGGGGGTGTAGGAGTAGGTGGCTTGCCATTTGGAGGTAAAGGAATCGGAGGTGTAGGAGTAGGTGGCTTGCCATTTGGAGGTAAAGGAATCGGGGGTGTAGGAGTAGGTGGCTTGCCATTTGGAGGTAAAGGAATCGGAGGTGTAGGAGTAGGTGGCTTGCCATTTGGAGGTAAAGGAATCGGAGGTGTAGGAGTAGGTGGCTTGCCATTTGGAGGTAAAGGAATCGGAGGTGTAGGAGTTGGTGTACCTTTCGGGGCTAAAGGAATCGGAGGAGTTGGTGTACCTTTTGGAGGTAAAGGAATCGGAGGAGTAGGTCTTCCATTTGGCGGTAAAGGAATTGGTGGAATAGGAGTGGGCGGTTTACCATATGGAGGCAAAGGCATTGGAGTTTTAGGAGGTGTTCCACTTGCTAAAGGTGGTTATGGACATTTCGGACACCTACCTTTTGCTGCAGGAGCGAAAGGTGGTTTAGGCCATCATCTGCCATTTGTCGGAGGAGCAAAGGGTGTAGGCCACCATTTCCCATTTATCGGAGGAGTTAAAGGTGGTGTAGGCCATCATCTGCCATTTGCAGGAAAAGGTGTCGTAGGCCATCTCCCATTCGTCGGAGCAGGCAAAGGTATTGTAGGCCATCTTCCATTTGCTGGAGCTAAAGGCAATTTAGCTCATCTCCCTTACGTTGGAGGAGCTAAAGGTGGACCTTTAGTCGGACACGGATTCATTCATACCCCTCACCCACTGTCGATTGGAGTAACTGGTAAATTACCAGTTATTGGTGGAAGGAGTCTTTCCGTAATCCCATTATTGGGAAAAAGCGGATAGTGGGTTAAAAATACGAATATTGACAGTAGGTGAGAAAATTTCGTACATTATTTATGAAATTGCTATATATTTATTACTAAAAGATAATAAGATTAATTATTTTTTGAAATACATACTCTTCCGGAAAAAAAAATTCATTTTATCGTGAGAAATATATTATATATATATATTATATATTGTAGGATGTATAATATACTGTATATATATATAATATTTAATTTCTATTTATTTTATTAAGAAAAATCTAATAACATATTTTTAATTACAGGATAGGCCACAATATGATCATCAATTAATAAAATCATCGAGTGATTCATCAATTTACTGATGAAATATTTTGACACAAGATTTTGAAGAAGCATTTGACACTTTGTGTCGATTCTCTTCCATGTAAAGTGTTTATATTTTCCGATGGATGCATCATTTTTCCATCACAAATCATCGTTTGTTCATAGCTTTTTGTAAAATTGTCCTTTTCCTTATGTGTTGTGTATAAATTGTTTGTCTTAAGAATAAAATTACATTGTTAGAAGTGAGGAGAACGTTTATTTTAATGTTTCTTTTTCCCCTGAACTAGAAAAAAGTTAAATTTTTTCCGTTATGAATTTCATAATATACATTAAGCTTAGTTTTAATTTAAAATCTAGAGACAATGGTTTTGTTTATTCTTTTAATATGAGCAACAAACTTTCTCTTTCGAAGCTTTTACTGCTTCTTAAAAGTTTATTTGAATAATAAAACATTACATTAAGAAATATCAATTACATAATTTTAATGATTTTCGTAAACTTTAATAATTACGATTTAAAAAGTTGTAGATGAAATTATGCTTGATGAAATCACCATTTCCACGATTCTTTTCAACATTTTCGTAATGATGAACGAAGTGAATTAGTTTTCTTAACATGTGTTGGCTAAAATTTCAGTAAACACATTTTTAAATCAATAAGCTTTTAATTCAATTGTGCAGTATACAAGTTCAGTTAAATGATAAAAACAAAAGCGATACGTTACGCTCGACTGTGCGTGACGTATCGCGCTTTAAATTCACATTTAAATAAAAGAAATATAATAAACTATTTCAAATTCTCCGTTAAATGTTGCATACTTTGTTCAAAACATAAATATCATCAAAATTTCAACATTTAAAATCATAGCGCTTTGGTTTTATTAGCATATCACAGGTTACGCTTCAGGGCGATGTGTGTTAAGTCTCTTGTTAAGTTGGCTAAAACCATTTACAGTTTTAAATGTCATAACAATACCGCTAAAACTAACTTTCAAGAACTGTTAAGCTTTTCAATATTAATTTGATTACAATTTTAACACGTTTATTATTGATAAATATGACAATTATATCTAAATTTTGTATCAAAACTAGCAAACGATTCATTAGAAAAATTGTATTAGTTTTGATGCACATTTAAAATTATAGTATTTATTTCTTATTAGAAATTTAAAGAAAAATGAAACTGACAAAACATATAAATTATATAATATTTATTTATTGAAGATCAGAAACAAAATTAGAAGCTAGTGAAATTATTTTTAAGGCCCACTCAAATAGCTACCGTCTATGATTCCAGCTTTTCTGTACGGATCCTTATACATATCAGAAGCAGTTGTACCTTTGGGTCTCCATCCAAAGTAAGGTTCTGTCCTGTCCCCATTATATTGAAATATTTCCGGATTGAAATGAGCACACTGATTAATAGGATACGGACAGAAATCTCTACCGAATGCCTTTATATATCCGTATCCCTTTTCATAAGCTATACCAGGATCTTTAATTCCGTAATTGACACCATAACCATGTCTTTCGAACCGCCATGGACCATGCCCGTATACTTTTGGATCGTCGTAAAAGTCTCGTTCTTCGTATTGAACCACGTCGTACTTGCTATACTTGGGTTTCGCAGTGGTTGTGATAATAACAGTTGCCTTTTAAACAAGTAATCATTGTAAATTAAAACCTTACAGAAAAATTAATGCTTATTGTATATATATTTTTTTAGAAGTTTAATACATTTCGCTGTGATATTACTATGAATTAACAATATAAGTAAGATAAATTAAAGAAAATATATTTAAAAATAAAGCATTTATCACTTACTAAAATATATAAAAAGGAATTTTAAATATTAATTTTATATTAAACGTTATCTTACATAATCAATAGATATGGACATACTAAAATAATTTTTTTTAAAATTATATAGTAATCGAAGCATTTTTCGTCGAAACTGAAATGGTGGAACGATGATTTAAATTTAGTAATTAAAACGAAACTTTTATAGAGTTAAAAAAAATTTTTTAATTATTTAATAGGACATTTTTAATAAAATTTGTCCAGTTTTCCCCCATTTAATTATAATAAACACTTTATTTATCTTAACAAATTAATAAATTACTTTGTAATAAAATGGCACTTCAGTTTTTAGTTCTAGATAATATTCTAGATCAATATTCTAGATAATAGCTAAATGTTTTAGTCGATACATATTAAACAACCAGAACTTACCAATACAATTACATTCCAAAGTATTATGTTTTTGCGCATAGCTCATTCGTGCTGTTTCCATGAATTGTTTTAGATTGAAAGCCAACACCCAACCAACCACTGTCTCCGCGTTTTTTTCTTCGATTACATGCGAGACCTATTTCCAGAAATTAAAAGTTATTTCGAGTCTTTCCTGTTTACAAATGTCACAGTTTATAATACAATAACCTAAAATTCATTACCGCGCGCCATATTGAATAGAATATTAATTAATGTACAGTATACCAAAAATATGATATAATTTATTATGTATTTCACTTTTATTTTTCGGGATATTTGATTTTATTATTAATTAGAAAACAAAGAAGCTGTAGCTATTTGATCTGCAAAGTTTTTGATATACTTAACAAACTTATGATTTAAAAAAAATAAATAAAAATATTCGGATTCTTATTTAAATATTTAATGTTTTGATTGCTGAATTTCACATTAAAAATGAAACAGCAACGAATAAAGCTAATAAAATAGTAAAATCTGTTCTTAAAATAAGAAAGGAAGGAGCTTGATTAAATTTATTCTATATAAATGGAAAATGAACGGACTAATGAGTATTTATGTCACATGTGTAACGTTAACGAGGAAAACTGATTTTTACTTTTTTAAATTAATAATGAATAAAATTGAAGTATAAACGCTTCACAGTTCAACATAAACATAAAACTAGAGAAACTTCATAGCAAATAACATAAAAGTAAAAAAAAATTAAACTTTATTTACCGAAGTTAAATGCGTGAATTTCCTTGGTTCTTTAGTTATTTTAGAATTCATTTTATACAATGTTAAAATTAAATATAATTTTATAGAAGAAACGTTATTTTATACTTCATTTTAATTAGTGAAAATAAAATTAATAAATAAAATAAATTTTAAAAATAATAAATCTAATTTAACGGTTTATTATTGAGGGCTGTTCTTTATGGTCCATTGGACATTATGTTTATTAATTTAAAATAAATAATTAAAGAAATAAAATTTACTTTCTTTGTAATTTTTTCAACAATTTTTAAAACTTTACGTAAGTAAATATTAGATTATAGTTGATTAATAGATAAGTAAACGAGTCAAACAAAAATTTTGAAGATAAGTTTAATATACGCTTCGCGAAAGACACGCAAATTTGAACTTTGCAAATTAAAATCATTTGCTTGAATGAATTTGAAAGTGTTGACCTTCTTTCATTGGCCTTTCTATTGAATTTTGCGAAAATTTATGCTATTGTATTATTAATGATCTACGCAGACAAATAGTCTGATTATTCAAAAATGACGGTAGAAGATTTCGTAAATTGTTTTTAATAATAAGATTATTTAAACTGGTTTTTACGTGGAAAAATAAACAAAATATTATATATTTTTTCTTGTATTTATTAGTTTATTTCCAAAAGATTAAGAAATAGAGGTGGAACGATTTAAAATAACTGTTTACTAAATGGTGGTCATGGCTATCGCCTCTGTTGACGTCCTAATTGAGAATACGTAATAATAAATTAATATAGAATTACAAAATATAGGCTAAAAAATTAACACTAAAATCAAATAATATAAAATATAAACTTAAAATAATATTAAAAAATACGGAATGGTGAGAAAAATNTCATTTAATTTTTAAAAATATTTTGAATGAAAATGCTAATAATTTTAGATCTAGAGCAGATGTAAAGTTCTTTAGATGTTATAATACTAAAAGTAGAGAAAATTAATAATTATTATTTTTGGAGAGTTCGAAATGTGTATGCTATCTGTTAAATACAGATAGCAATAAAACTTTACTGTTTACGTTACAATAAAAACTACCAAATAAAAAAAAGCAAAAATATGAATTCATTAACAATTAATTTAGCTAATTTTAGTAAAAATGATATTGTCACTTTGTGTAGGAAACAAATGCCAACTGGAAAAGGAATTGTTAAATACTGAAATGTAAAAATGTCAAAAAAAAACAATTTATTTACTTGTTCAAGAATATATTTCAAATATGTTTCTGCAACATTCTTATATAATACATAAGTAACTTCCACTAATAGCAAACAAAAGTCTGCATATATTTTTTTTTTTTATATTGAAAAGTGTAGATCTATAAATACTCAATGAGTTGCGTTTTCTATATAAAAAAGTTGTCAAAGTGTATAGGAATTTATATGGACTTATGCAATATTTCTTTCTTAGAAAGATTCTAATCATATTTAATTAAGATATGTTTTATTATCAATGAATTTAGATTTTCTTCTGAAATTTTAGATTTAATCAGAAATAAATTGTTCGAGTTTAAAATGAACTTCTTGTAACATTCCTTTATTAATTAAATAAAGCCTGTAACAAATTACATTTTGAACAAATTGTTATTTTAAATAATTTGAAATGTGGTCAGTTTATTAACACAAATACAGAGAAATATCAAACGTTCTTAAATATTATGCATTAATTTCTAGGAAGTGTCTTATGTGTGCATAAAATTGGCACGTGTATTTCCCGTAGTTATATTGAAATAAATAATAAACCATATATTTTATATCACTACAAATTATCTTGACCCCATTATTTAACCCAACCTTGACACAGAGTAACAGACAATTACCTAAATGTAATTTCTGGTTATCAATGAGAAAATAATCATGTGCAACAAATCCTTCACCTAAACATCAAATAAAATTTTATAATTATTATTTGCGTATCTTTTTGTAGATAATCTTTGATTTATCTGGAATCAGTGCTTCTTAATAAATACGCTTCAACGTTTAACATTTGCTTTATTAAAAGAATAATTTAAAATTAATTTTATACAGTTTAATATAATTAAACATAACATTTGATTTTATATGATTTAAGTGAAATTGTAATGGTAAAGAGTAAAGTTAAATGTAAACAAATGCACTATTCCTAGGTCAGTAGGTCACTACATTTTCATTAGCTAAGATATTAAGGTTGTTACAGAATTCCGATTCGAGGACGGCGTGAGACAATTCAATGAACGAATGCCATTCCGGATATTGCATAAATTCGATTGAATCATTTATACGTTTTGGATAGAGTATATATAAAGAAATTACGATACTCTGCACAGAAATGAAATAAGCCTTATCTCAGTTTACATATCCGACAAACATGAAAGAGGTAAAATTCTTAAAGAATTTAAATTTGTAAAGCGAAATATGTTTTTCTAACAATACTTTAATATTGCAGATTATCGGAATTTTGCTTTTGTTTCTGGTAAAATGGATAGTAGCTTACCCACCGCATGGCGATCACCGTCACGAACCTCCTTTCGGTCACAGAATTCATCACGTTAGCTCCGAAGGAATTCATCACGTCCATCACGGTCCTAACGGTATGCAAACTAGCCACACTCAAACCCAATATCACGATACTCACATTCATACCGGACATCATGGTCCTCAATCTGGACCATCTGGACCAGGAAAAGCTTACGGAAGGAAAACTAAATACACTCTTAAGCATCCCGCTCATAGAGGACATACAAAAGTTATGGAAATGCACGTAGAAATGGATAGAGAAATGCATCCTCACGAAGCCGAACATACCATGAAGAAAATCATGAATTCCATGAGCGATCACAGAAGCACTTTTCGAGATTTCGTCAAAAGTATGGGATTTAATTTCCATTAGTGAGTCTTTATGGAAAATATATTTCTTCAGTAGAAGATTTATAGTAGTATTGAGTTTATACTGCTTATATTTACTAGGCAATTATTCTGCCACTATGTCATGCTGTAGTATTAAGTTATTCTATGTTGTATATACTATTTTGTCAGCATAAAATTATTTAATTCATTTTTATGTAAAAATAAGTTAAATAAATTTTCTACATTTCTTTAATACGGTGATTTATATTATCGTCTTATTTTATGTACGGAGCTTATGGTTCGCGTAAAGTAAAACAGTTTATATTGATTAAATTTAATTACTTTTTCCTTGAAGTGGCAACACTTAATTGTTGCTTTGACGTCACATCTTTTAAAATGCTTTTTCCGTCTGCTAGGCGAGTTTTTTGTTTTTTATAGTGAATTTCATGGCACTTATGAACGAATGGTACGAAAAGAAAATTAAATATAAAATAAATACAAAAAAATTCAATTAGGATAAAATCTATTTATTATAAAATATAAAAATTATTTATACTTTCTTTGTGTCAACGTAAAATGACAGTAAAACAATAAAATAATAATAATAATAAAATATAGTAAAATATTATTAAAATAAAATCACACGATGATGAAGAAAGTTTCGGCACGTGGCACTTTGACAAGATCAAGATGGCTGCCTTCCAAGTAAATAAAGTTTCACTAATTGGAAGAATTTAAAAATGTCATTTCTCTCAGTGTTAATTTACTTTTTTCACGAAGAATTCTAAACGTTTATTTATTTATTTTTTATTTTAACATTTACAAAAAAAATGCAGTTCAATTTTTTAAATATAAGAAAGATTTCGATCGGCACATTCTAGGACAAAAATGATTATTATTTAAGTAATAATAAATTTAATTATTATTTAATAATAATAACTATAAATTATTAAATAACGAGCAATTATTTATCATTGCATCGTTACAATGCCGAGCTGCAATTTTTATTCATATTTTTAATTTAAAATATATGCTTTTCACCTCAAATTAGTAGTGGCTTGCCCTTCCCTGTACATCATACTTTTCCTGATAGCAATAGAGTCATGTCGGTCGTCTATCTAACTCCTTTCAGGGGAAAAATTTCGAATAGAAATAACGTGACTTCCAGTTTGCATCAGAGGTTCGTATATAATTAATCTGGGCCTTCTGACCCTACGATTTTCAAATCTGTTCACATCTTTCATCTATCTAACTCATTCTTGATATTAAAGAAAAGACGGACGGACGATGGGAATTTGTCTATAATTTTTTCAAATTGCAACCCAATAATTAAATTTATTATTATAATAAAAATTATATAATAAATAATATTGAATTTTAATTTAAGTATGTTTGAAAATAAATATTTTATGCCTACTCAAAATTCTATAGATAATTTAATACATAAATTT